TAATGGAGTCACAGTATGTTATCTCACTAATGGAAGCAAATAATTATCGTGTACTGACCTGAGCAGCGGAAACAAGGTGCGGCGATCACAGCTACAGGTTTGGCCATCCAAGCCTTGTCATTGATAGCATGCACTGGGCTACACTTCTGGTTCACTCTCGGCTTGAGCACTCGTCGAGGAACCCTTGACGCCCGGCACTCACAGGTCTACTCTTCTTCTCGGTTTAAGAAGTTCCTCCTAGGTACGTCCATGTCCTGCAGAATAACTCTCCTGGGCTGACACCGTCTTCAGCAATGGAGATGGCATCTGCTCTCTTGATTGTCTACTCCTTCTACCGGCTTGTCGAGTTTGCAGATGGTGTTTCGGGGGATGTGTTCCAGAACGAGGCTGCTTTCATGGTTGTTGGAGGACTTCTCCCCTTCTTAGCCGCAGCCCTCTTGACAGCCATCCACCCAGGCAATGCCTTTGCTGATGCCTGGGCCCCTACATCACCTCGCGGGATCAAACGTCAAAGTCGACCGACCCCTGTACAATCTCCGACCCCCAGTGGCCATCCCGTCCACCATTTATATGACCCCGACATTCGCAAGCAGATCTCGCCGACGTCACCAAAACACCGGAACTCAGCTGGACCACCTGAGCTTCCACAGGGATCTATGGGCCTGCCCGCGCATCCGAAGCCGGTGCCAAGGCCCCCGAGTCCTCGGGACCCTAATGCCCCGCGCAAGGGGCCACCTGCACCGCTGAATCTGGCGGCTGTGCGTGCATCACGAAATAGTTCCAGGGCAGAACAGAGGGGTTACGCACCAAAGGATATGGTTCCCGATGGAGAGCTGTGGTAACTAAGTTGGCGGGGAAGTTGATGACAATTTATGAGGTACCACCCGTTGTTATACTGGAGAGTTGGGTGCGGGTTCAGGGAGCGCTGCTGGCTGGCTTACTCGCTGTGATATGATATATGATATAGCTATCTGCTCGCTATGATAGGAATAGGCGGCCTGTGAATATTTCATGTTGGGTGCTCAAAGGGGCTGAAATTTATGGTTCTCAGGCCGAGGACACTGGGGATTTTCAAGATGTTGTTCGAATTGGTCCTTGTACGGGTGGCGGTTCTGAATTATCTATATGGGTGTATATATATGCGTTCACTCGGGCACTTGCCTCTGTGTCGCATCTAGGTCAATGTGAATTTATCAAGTAATGAGTTCCTGTGCCAAACAATACCGAGAAGATTACTACTAGGTGTACTGACATTCGATGTGGAGATAAGATGCCACGGCTTTGACCACTGACCAGTCTCGACGAGAACGGGCCAGTTTACGGGTAAGGTTATGATTTTTTACTGAGGGAACTCAAGCTCATGTGCAGGTTGTCTGGCTAAATCAATCATCCTTTTGCATAAAGCTAGGTAATACTTCACTTTTGTGTCTCTCTACGGCAGTCTCCTCCTAGGTAATGCCTGATGAGCTACGGAGTACGGACGCTTGTGAACGTGTTTCAAAGGCTATTGCGGGCGCAAAAGATGATTTAGAAGAAACCTTGTATCGTGTTGTAACTTAGTAGGGTCGCAAATGGCCACTTGATTGATATTGGTTATCCTTGCAGCATGCACGCAACGAGAACTGCCACCAACTCTAGTTCCGAGGCTGCGCAGATCGCTCAGCATAACATGACTGCCAAAGCCAAAGCCAAAGCCAAAGCCAAAGCCAAAGCCAAAACCTGGATTATGAGTCCCAAGATGGTCTGTCTGTCAATAGTGGTATTGTTGACTGGAATGCAGGGGGTTACGGCCCACGATGTACAGTATGCAAGGCACAGAGGCATGTTCGTGCAGAGTTAGCGCCTCGCCAGGAACGGAACGGGAGGGCAAGACAAGATCGACCGGATCGGCCAGATTTGACGCTATCGGAAAATATATTTGACCCATTCGTGAATACAATTGATCTATTGTTCAAAGCCAAGTCAAAATTGCGAGATTGCCACTACTTAGCTTCAAATTATTACTTAGCAAAAGTAGTGAAGAGATAGGAGAGGAAATAGGTCAAAGGCGCATGCTTGCATCATGCTCCTTGGTCGTTGTATAGTCGAGTTCCTGGTGGCCCAGCCTCTCTCAACAATGTTGCCGCGTTTGAGGTGTCTGATGAAGGCTGGCATGAGGTCTCAAATAAGCTGTCAACTCTATACCAACACTATTCCTGTCGATTCAAGGTTTTGAGCATATCCTACCAAAAGAGGGCTCTCGTGTAACGCGGCCACGAGTTTGGCCCAAGATGTCTCATGATCAAGAACAGAAGATCATCAGCGCTTAGCCAGGTCCGGCCAAGAGAAACTCCCACCAACGTTTTGGCTCTCGTTGGACGACAATGTGGCTTTATAGACCTCTGCCCTATATCCAAGAATGCCCAAAACTGTCTGGAAGCGTACGCCATGGCTCGTCATCTCCCTCTAAAGAATGGGATTGCCCCCATAGACCACGATTCCCCTCTTCTCCAACCCACACTGCACTTCTAAATGCTCAGGCACCTATGTCGGAAACTGAGTAACTCTTCCTCTTCACATCTATCACCAATGTCTTGCTCATTTGCACGGATATCGGATATCATCAATCGCAAGCTCGGCAGAAGCCGTCCTTCCGAGTACAACGACGACGAGAAGACACGGGCCATATCCATCACCACTACTATCACCATCACGACGACGGCGACGGATTCGATTGGGTAGGATGGTGGTCCTGGAAAGGGCCGACTTCGAGCCCAGGCACGGCAATGGCCAATCTGTTTTCGACCTCAACGTTGCCCTGATGGTCATCACTAATATCTTGATGATTCTGCGACTGTATGCTCGTGGCGTTATGGCCAAGAATCTTGGGTGGGATGATGGTTTGGCTGTTGTTGCCTGGGTAAATACCTCTTGTAAGATCCCATCAAAAACAAGAGTACACTGACATATGACTAGGGCCTTGTCATGACCTTTTCTTGTATAGAAATCGTTCTTTTGACAAAGGGTGTTGGATATCACAAACAGGATGTGCCGAGAGAGACGTTGCTTCAGCTTTTGTCAGTATGTACATACCCAAGCATCGAACCCTACAAGTATAGGTACTCCAGGCATTGACTATTCATTGCTACAGCTGTTTCCTGTCGACAAGCTAGTCTTCATCTTGGCTGGTGGGTTTGTCAGGCTATCAATCCTTGCTTATCTTCCTCGCATCAACAGAGAGAGTAAGACAACCACCCACTTACAAGTTCCTATTACTGATCTGAGCCAACAGGATCTTTTACGACGTGCGTCTATGGAGCTTTTTTGGCAACCATAATCACTGCTGTGACTTCATTTTTGTTTGTCCTTTTGTCCTGTAGCCCGGTATCGTATGTTGATTCCTTTCTCTCCCTTGTAAACTATTCCAAGACTGAGTTTAATAGAGACGTGTTCAACGCCGCAAATACAGACAGACAGTGCGTTTCAAAATATAGTCTGTCTCGTATGAGATGGGCTCACTCGATTATGTCAACTATTCTCAACGTCGTGATACTCAGCCTCTGTATATGGGTTTCAGCATCAACCAACAAAACAAGAGCTCAAGTCATCAAGATGACGTTAATGCTTCTGCTTGGACTGTTTGCTATTGTTTCGACAATCACCAGGCTCATTCTTCTACTCACAATCAACATGAATGTGGACATGTCAGTCAACCACTGCGGTGTATCAAGCATAACAACTGACATATATTGCAGAACTTATAACAGCCTTCGAGTAGCACCATTCTTCCCCCTAGAGATCAACTCGGGTCTCTGGTGCAGTTGTCTCCCTGCTTTCCAGCCCCTTTTCGAGTGGACCAACAACCACTGCTATGATCATTACAACATGAGGAAATTATCTCGAAGCAGCGCCCAAGAGCCCCTGAATGATTCTTGGCACAGAGATTACATGACCGCAAATCCTCATGTTTCAATCCACGGGCAACCAAGAGATTCGAGAGGGAAGAGGAAGGCATCAGATGCTGAATCAGCCAATGGATTCACAATGTTGGAGAATGAAAGAGGCATCAAGCTGACCACGGAGTTTTCGGTGCATGTGGAAGACAGGGTGTATACCGGAGAAGGGTCACAAGACATAGTACCGAGGACACCAGCGTGGAACGCATTCTGATAGAAATTACCTGGTACTGATAGTGCAAGTTATACTACTATACCTAAACAATCTTGTAATATTGCAGTAAAAAAAAGAGAAATAGTCATTGAGGCAGCATTAAGACATTGTATAGATCTCAACACCCTCATTGATATTGATTGATGAAGAGATTTAAGCATAGACGTAGTTAAATACTATCTTGTTCAACAATTGATTGAGGTTTGCCAACGAAAAGTCCTGTTTTTGAAAGTTAAATCTTTCGCTCCGTCCAGAACAAGTACGAGAAATTGAGCACGAATTTGCCGTGGTCCTTGTTTCGAGTATTGGCAGCTCTAATAAGCGATGAACAAAGGACTCGACTCGAAGTACCTTGGTTCGTTCAACAATCACCGAATCACAACGTTAAGAGTCTGGGGAGCAGACGGTTAGAGTTCAAAAGGGTTTATATTTGATAAAGATCACTAGTTTAAGACAGAAGCTGTCGATATACTTGAACGGACAAAAGACGTTAGAATGATCGATGAAGAGTACCTTCGGAAAGACAAGATACTTGTTAACTGTAGCTAACTAAGAGTTGGATATGGAACAGAAATTAAACCAAACTAAGACGTTCTCAAGGATTTGATGCAGAAATTAACCTGAATTGCCTGTGTTCAATCCTTTCAAGTCCCTGTTCGAAGAGAACACTCATCTTCAGGGTCACCTTACGGACACTGTTGATGGACAAAGCCTGTTCAGCTCCAAAGGATCGCTTTTCAAGGAAGTATTAAAGCCTCCGGAACCCTCGATAATGGTCCATGCCGCGACCGGAGACTCCTTCTCAGAAAACAGTTTTCTACTTCTTCTGAAACTAGATTTCAAATTTCAAAATGATGCAAGATAACAACAAATCGGAGACGGCACAAGAGGTTCAGGATACAGGACAAACAGTGCATCGCCACCAACAACGATTATCCCTCAAAGACACTAGCTCCGGATCCCCTCGTAGCCATGACGAGCCTTACTTCGATTTTCCCCCCGTGTCAACTGAACCAACCAGGACTCAAGTGGCTCGAGAGACTATAGAGACATACAACGAGTACAGAAATAAGCGAAAGACAAAGGATCTCAACTGGTGGGGAAGCAAGCAGCATGAAGCCGAAAGGGGCGATCCGGATCGTGAATTTCAGTTTGCACGGAACATGCCAGTATCAAACCACGATATCGAGGATGCGCAACGAGCGTACAATGCTAGAATAACTGACCCTGTTACAGGTAGACACAACGCGCTGGGCTCTCACTTGCGACCTACAACTCCTCCCATGGAGAAAGCCGAAAAGCAAATCAAAGGCCTGGAGGACCAAGGGGTTAATCTTACTCCTGGACTGAGAGAGGAAGTGGCTCATCATTTTATTTCCAATAGTGGGCTCCATGCCGCTCTCTTAATCTGGTGCAGGAACAAAACGGATGTCCCTGTCCAGTATGTTAACGAGTACATCAAGAGCGTGTCTCGACTGAAGCTCGAAATGGCCACGCAGCAGCGTGACGTGACTGAGAAGTTAGGGCAAGCCATAAAAAATGGTGAAGAAAAGGAGTCTCGCTGTCAGCAGCTGCAAGCCGAAAACAGCAAGCTCAAGATGGAAATACAAAGGCTCAATGAGGAAAAAGAGAAGACGGATTTACAAGCGAACCCTCTGGTAACTACACAAGATGTTCGTCAACTGGCTTTGTACCCTAACATGATAGCAGTGGGCAAAGCGGAAGAGGAAAAGGCGCATCTTAAGGATTCCTCAATGCAATACAACAAACATTATATCCCGCCTCCAGCTACCGTACAGCTACCTGGGACCCCGTTGACTTCCCTCAGAGAAGCCTCCGGGTCAAGTCAGAGCTCACCACCATCACCTGTAACCAAGGAAAGCTTGGAGAAGAAGCCCTGGTCGGTAAAAGCTGTAGAGTCCAATGTCACTCAAGGCGATGCCAGCAGAAACAGGGTCCAGGATTTGGAGTTGCAACTCGAAAACCTCAAAGAGGAACTTCGGGCCAGCAATGACAGCATAAGAGTCCAGGAGAAACCCGACTACACCACGGTTGACAGTCTGGTCAATGTAATTCGTAAGGAGAAACAAGGAATCGATGACGAAGAAGAAGCACCGAACCTCGTGGACCGAATCAACTATCTCAATTTGGTCTGCTTCTTCCGAACTCGCAACTATCTTCAACTTGCTCTAAGGGGGGGCGATCATACATTGGCCAAAATTCTCCTGAATGACGCTGACAAATGGGTCAAGTCCTGCAAGGAGCATCTCGAAAAGATGGATCCAGAGGTCAGTCTGTAAGTCGAAGGCTCTATGCTGATCCTACATGGAATGCGTAAAGTCTTAACGACCACAGACGAGGGTGTGCTTATTGAAGGGGTCAAGTACGTCAAGCATGGACGTAACGAACTCCGTAAGCTCCCAAGAAGTGACGCTTTTGCGCAGCTTATCCAACTCGCAGATTCCATCCTCCGAGCGACCAAGTACGACGAGGAACAGAATAGTCTGAGTATCAAAGAACTCCCGCTCAATCTTTTCAGAAGGAAGAATAAGCGCCAATACACCAAAATCCAGGGGACTATCAAGGACGACCCAGCCATGAAGGCAGAGGCGTTACGTCTTACGGGCGTCCATTCTCCTTTATCCCCCAAGAAATGGGCAAAGGATAACTGAGGTGAAGGCTTGGAGCTGGGTGAGTCCATTGACTGAGGATATTTTCGGTTTGAGCATCGTGATTTTTGTTGATAGAGAGTTGTCTATGGAGTATTATTAGAAGGCTAGGCTTGTCGTATTTGTTTCGATACTTCTTCCCCCATACTTTTATCTATTCTTCTTATTCTCTATCAATTCTTATAACTTGATATAGTCTATTTTTCTAAACCAATGTTGATTCTAAGATTCGTATACGGCCTAAGCAACTTGCCATCCTTTATATATAAGTGATATATCTCTATTTCTCAAATCCTAGAACTATGGAGCACTGTAGCCCCCATCGATAACAAAGTTGGCACCAGTGGCGTATGTGGAAGCGTCTGATGCTAGGAACAGATAAGCACCTTGGAGTTCATGAGGCTCGCCCTCACGGCTGTGTCCTTGTCAGCAAATCGACTGTATACTACAGATAGAAGAAGTCATACCCAAGAGGAATCTTGTCTTTCCAAATGTCCTTGGTCTCCTGTGGCACAAAGTTGGAGATCTCAGTGATGATATAACCGGGAGAGATGGCGTTGGCACGAGCATATCGAGCCCACTCAACAGCCAGACTCTTCATGAGGTGAATGACACCAGCCTTGGCGGCATTATAAGCAGCCTGGAGTTGGGGAGTGTTTACGATGCTTCCACTCATGGACGCCGTGGCAATGAAACTACCAGAAGTGTAGTTTGTCAGAGGTTGGCCGTTAGTATCAGTCCCCTCGACCTTCTGGCGACGCCAGTGCTTAGCTGCAGCTTTGGCACAGTAGTAAGTGCCGTCCAGGTTGGTCTGGACAACGTCACGGTAGTGATCAAGAGGGCCATCGACCATGGGACCTTTCGTCCAAGGAATACCGGCATTGGCCACGAAGATATCCAGACGACCATTAAGGTCCTTGACTGACTGGTCGACAGCCTTCTCAACAGCATCGGCATCTCTCATATCAACCTGATAGGCCTTGACTGGAGGAATTTCGTTAGAAAGTAGATTCTTTTGTGAAAGTTGCAAATGCTCTACCTGAGACGTTGTATTTCTTGGAGATCTGTTCAGCACGCTCTTCAGCTTTGCTGCTTGTACGGTACCAAATTGCAATGTTGGCACCGACTTCAGCGTAGGCCTCGGCGATAGAAAGACCGATGCCAGCGGCAGCGCCGGTAATGATGGCAGTCTTGCCTTGAAGAGAGAAACGCTTCAGAATAGAGCCTCCATCGACCACGCGATTGTCATCATGGACGAAGTTGCCTCCATTGAGGGGGTTGAGATCAGACATGTTGAGTGCTGCTTCTCCAACAAATAAGGTGTTGGCGGAAGACAGAAGAGAGGCCGTGTCTCAAAGGATAACACATGAGCATTTATACGATCCAAGGATAGCAATTGCTGGCCAAATCCCCTCCGCCTTGTTCCGCGCCCCGGAACCCTTCCCTCTTTGAAGACCCTCTGTTTGTTATCAACAATCAATGGCATCGGCGACTCACGCCCATCAGATAGCAATATGATATCCCTAGTTGGGACATTCCGAGGCCTCGGACAGGGCAATTCCTTGTTAACGCCCGTTGTTCTGTCTCCATCGTGAAGTATTCGGAGTTACCCAAACAAGACGAGTGAGAGCACAACAGACTAGCGGTCGAAGGAGCATTTTACGACTAAAGCCGTTAGTTGTATAAAAGAAGAAAGGCTCGATGGAGACATTCTCGGCTATCCGTGAATGAGATCGTTGACTCCATCAAATCGAGTCTCTGATTGGCCAGGATCCTGGCTTTGGGGATTGTGGGAAGAAGCCCCTAGGGACACTTCATGAGGTTCACTCACCATCACCAGCATCTTCCACTGAACTTCATGGTGAATGGACCTGGAGCACCCCTCAGTTGTTACCCCTCATCGGTCCCCGCATACTCACCTTAGCCAACTTACCCGTCAGGTAGGTAGACTCCCGGCTCTTGTCGAATCCTTTCTTCAAATTCTTTGAGTGTGAAGGGAACTGGCTTCTAAATGGAAGGTGTGGTTGAAACTACCTGTGGCCGCTATGAGTCAAAATAGATCTAGATCTTGTATCCGTGGAAAGACCTTTCCCGTGCATTCTTGTCGCATCGATTGAGTAGGTATGAGACAGTGTCGCACTTGCATCTATGGTTAGCGGGATACGTCACATGCCCCCACCATCATGATGCAGACGGGACTCAAAGGAACCTTCGTGGGGTTCTCAACCTCCCCTCTAAAACCAATCGCCATAATAAATCGAAGTTTTGAGCATCTACTTTTCGAATTTGATATTTTAAATAAAGCACATACAGGTTCGTGTAAATTCTCATTGACAGTGTCCTCAGTGAGCTGTCCCTCAAACAATTGATATATGCAACCTACTCGTCCTCTCATCCCTCATGGCGAACACAGCAGCTTCCCCTGGGTCTCATCGTCCCTATGACTCAAAGCTTGGAATAGTCACAGGTGGCTCTCGAGGTTCGTCTATCACCAACCACTTCCAATTTACAAGGTCACTGACTCAGTCAAGGCATTGGTGCAGCCGTTGCTGCGAGACTTGCTGCTAAAGGATGCAATCTTCTCCTTGTTTATACCTCCAACTCGTCCACAGAAATAGCTAGAAATCTTAGCGACGAGCTATCAACTCTACACAGCATTCAATGCCTTGCAGTACAGGCCGATTTGGGCGAGCCGTCCGAGGCTTCTCCCAAGATCATTGAGGCCGCACGTCGCCTTCATGATTCATATAACCCGAACAAGCCTTTCCAAATCGACATACTAATCAACAATGCCGGTGTCTCGTCTAACCAGAATATGAATGATGAAAGACATGGAAAAATCCAAGAAGTCGAGTTTCACCGCGTCTATAATGTCAATGTCTTGGCCCCTCTCCTCCTGACCCAAGCTGTCGCCCCGCATCTTCCCACAAACCGCGCGGGCCGCATTGTCAATGTTTCCAGTGTATCTTCGTCTATCGGGTATCAGGGCCAATCCGTTTACGCCGGGAGTAAAGCGGCCTTGGAAGCAATGACACGGACCTGGAGTCGTGAGCTGGCTACTCGTGCTACAGTCAACGCTGTCAATCCCGGGCCTGCTTGGGGAGATATGTACGCAGCCGCTGGACAGACTTTCTGGAGCATAAACCAGCCTTATGTTGACGCAGCCCCATTGGCTCAGTACAGCGGTGAACCGGAGGTTTTGGCTATGGCTGGGACTGATGCCGAACGCTTTGATCGAACTGTACGTGAGAACATGGGTAATCGAAGGCCAGGGTTTACTACCGAAATCGCCGGTACAATCGATATGCTCTGTTCAGAAGAGAGTGGGTGGACAACAGGAAGTGTAATTTGCGCGAACGGAGGTATGAAAATGTCAATCGCTTAGAAGTTTTCCCTCACACACTTTCGTCACACGCCAGCAAAGACAAAGATGAACGGACCGATCCAGAACTCCAACGGCTGTCACATCCGACCGGGTTCCCGCTTCATCTCCAAAGGGCAACCCGGGTATCTAGCCATTGTGATTGCTCATACTAGCAAATTATAGCACGAGCTCCCACAAGGCAAGCTCAGCCGGTTTCAGAACAACCGCTGGTCGGGTGGAAAATGACCAGGTATACAGTCGATCATCGATTTCTGTCTTTTCGTACGGTTAGACGCCTGTCGCTCATGTCGAGGTGACAATTGACGAATTTGTATCAGAAAACGACCCCTTGCATATGATTGCCTTCATAGTTGTCGCCTTATGCTTGCCCGGGGACATAGCTACGACTGCAGTACCACAAGCATGATCGCGGCTATGCTGTTGGCGTCCGGGGGTACGGCCAACAAATCAGCCCATCGTGCTAAGCAATACTTATATATTTTGGATGTCCGGCGGCTTCTGGCAGGAATGAAACGGTGGCGCTTCGTAAAAGGAGATGAAAGCCCTGCCATAGCTGTGTGCAACCATCTACACCATAAATAATGCCGAGTACTTTGCAAAGAGCCGCCTCGACATTGTTGGCAACCTCATGTAGCGACATCAAGCATATCGGTTTCACACTCAATGTCGTGCGACAACGTTTAACAGATTCGACATATCTGTCAGCTTGACAAAGCATGCTTGTATGACACGATGTCGTCGCATCTGGGGTAGAAGCCGACGATACACAGGGATTACTTTGAGATCGAGGTATATGTCTTGTTGAAGTACTGGTAGGGGACATACAAGCGACCGAACAAGATACAAGGGGGATTTCTGCCAATGGAACAAGAAGATTCGAGGCACATCTCGAGAGAATGTTACTTCTTTTCAATATGATTGGAAACGACCCTCCGCTTGACGCTCCGTCCGATCCTTACGCCTCCTTTTGAAGTTCCAGCCACAGCCTGTCACAGTCTGAGACATCCTTTCAGTTCATTTTTGGAGCAAACTCGGACACGATGCTGACTCTATCCTGCGATTTCATATTGCGAACTCCAGGAAGTACTTGAAAAGTTTCTTCTAATTTCGTCATGATAAAGAATAATATATAAGCAAGTCTGAGACACCTCAAGTCATACAACTTATATGCGAATTGTGTGTGCATGTACTCAGGGACGGAAGGCCGGTTATCCATGCAGACTCCTTTACTTGTTTGCAACGGGTCAACTACCTAAGGTACTTAGAAGTGACCAAGCCATGTACAAAGGGTTGCCACAAACTGGGGATAAAATTTAACAAAAGCTAAGCCTCTCGTGAACTAGAGTCTGCGGCAAAGCTGTCGCATTTATCTAGGCGTTTTGTATTTAAATGTCGCTCCTGAAAGACATACAGAAGACTCGTGATGAAGAAGCACATGGCCTCGACTCGGGGCTGAGATACTGTACAAGAGCGTTCTTTATATGCCCATACTCTCTTGAGTCGTATGTGTCTGATCAATGCAAGTGGCCATGCAGAAGTCGAAGCACAGTTTCAGCCTCAAGAAGCGCCAGAGGTGGCCGAAGCAGCCCTGCATGTTGGCAAAGAACATGTGTCTTGACGTTGGATGACAGACAGAGACTGTTGTGGCTTTGAAATCAAGACGCAAAAAATTGACGCAGAGACCAAATGCGTTGTACCTTTGGTCAGGCGTGTTGACCTGATTTCGAGCTGCATCCTTCATGATGATTCATGCCAGTTCCCGCGACCTTTGGACTCACAACCACTTACAGATCAGCTTCTGGTATCAGTCACATGCTGACCAGAGTATCTGCATATCTGTTGACGGTAAAGTGTCTGTCAGTAAGTCAAAGCTACAAGCACGTCTCTGCTAATGCAATAAGCTGCTCTTGAGTTCTCTCCGGAGCTGTTTCAAACGTTCCGATGGATCACACATATCAGATCACCAATAGTCTCTATGCGAATATGGTGAAGTATTTGCGATAGAACGCGAAGGTGTCACGTTGCAGGATCGAAGCCTCTGATCATGTCAGTCAACAAAAGATACGAAAGGGAGGCAACGCCCATGAGTTCTGAACATTGGCTACAATTCATTCAGTCATCGCTGTGTGACTTCGGAGATTGATCTTCTGACACGCTGATACCTTGCCTGACTTAGTTCTTCACGATCATTGTGTCTTGTCCTACTTAGTACGAGTCACCAAGTCGATCGCAACGCCTACTTCTCTCTCTCCCCTCTCTGCTGTCAACACAACCTCTTCCTCTTCTTCATATCTGAATCTCTTTGCCAATCCGACTCTCAAACTTCACCCGCACTTCGATCTAACAATGCCAGGCGGTTCGACCCATCCGGATCCAGTCTTTGCCGTTAAACTGGCCCGGCGTCAACAACTGAACTACAATGCCATGGTTGTCTTTGCTGCAGCCATGACTGCTTTCTACTTCACCATTTGTATTGCCATTCTTCTCAGAAGGCTTTGCGTCGATCTAGGTGCCTCGCGCAAACCAAATGCCGCCACAGCGATCTTCCGGTAAGGATCTGTCCTCACTTGGAACGGGAACATTGGTTTAACTGTATCACAGGCGCCTGAGAGCGAGTGCTCTTGGAAATATCGCGAGGCTACCATCGGGAGGATATACTCTTGCGATATTCGGATATCTAATCATCAACACCGTCGTCACTCTTACTTACCTGGACAACGACAATATGCCTCTTCTTTCTAACATGGCCTCTCGAACCGGATGGTTAGTTTTCAAAACAAATTTCGTAACAAAACTTCTAATGACGTAATATATACAGGATGGCTATTGCAAATCTCCTTATCGTCGTCCTTCTATCCCTCAAGAATACCCCCATTGTCATATTCATGACCTCCTCTTATGAACGCCTCAACATTCTCCATCGCATAGCCGGTTACACTACCCTCATCTTCGCCATAGTCCACTCTTGCAGTTATGCTGCCGTGTTCGGTGCCCAAAACTTCCTCCAGCGTTTGCTTGCGAGAGAAGAAATCTTTGGCATGGTCGCTATGGGCTCATTCCTAGTCCTTGGCTTTGCCGGTGCTGTCCTCCGGACGTGGTGGTACGAACTATTTTACTACCTTCATGTCGTTTTCTGGATTCTTGCTATCATCATGACCGGTCTCCATCAGCCGGAGCCTGGCAAGAAGGTTCTGTACGTGATTCTTGCTTCAGCCGGAATTTGGGTCCTCGAGCGAGTCATCCGCCTCGCACGAATCATCGTTAACAGCACCAATAATACCGTCACTCTCACGCCGCTCCCTAATGGCGGTACTCGTGTCACACTCGCCAAGGCACCATATGGATCTTCATCTGGCAAACATGGCTTCCTTTGGATCCCGGGAGTACGCACCGTTGAAACCCACCCTTTCACCATGGTTGCTACTGATCCCCTCGAGTTTGTCGTGGCAGCCCATGACGGATTCACTCGGGCTTTGCACAAGTGTGCCCTCGGTTGTCCTGGAATCTCATTGAAAGGGTCAGTTGAGGGTCCTTACGGTAATCACCCTGATGTCAAGGGGTATGACAAGGTCATGCTTATAGCAGGGGGTAGCGGCGCAAGCTTCACGGTTGGCACGGCCCTAGATATGCTCAAAAGACTGGAAACAGATGCCGAGGTCGACATCGAATTCGTATGGATGATCAGGAAACCAAGTAAGTCTACGTTAAAAACCGTGATGTCACGATACTAAGCAATATTGCAGCTTATTTCACCTGGTTCGCCGACCATGTCGAGACTCTACATCGAGACCATCGTGTCTCGACCAAGATCTATGTAACACGGGCTTCAGAAGCCGAGATTGTCCCCCAGAGCCAGCGTTCCTCCGGATCGCACGCGTCTTCAAGTAGCACTTTCGTCGAGTCCGATCCAGAAAAGGACGGTCTTCCCCACGTCGATACTACCCGATTATCACTTGACATCGAGAAGAGCGAAGTTCTCCCACCCGCGATAAATCCTTCTCTAAGTGATATTTTTCACGTTGGGAGACCGGACGTCGCTTCACTTGTGAAAGAACTGATAGAGAGTACGCCATCCGACAAACGAGTTCTGGTGATGGGCTGCGGACCACAGACACTCATGTCGGCCGTTCAGAACGCGGCTGCAGACTGTATCGTGAAAAACGGAGCTGGTGTTGAGTTACATCTGGAGCAATTCGGGTGGTGAACAAAAGTTTCATGATTGAATTTATTGCATATGATTGCAGATCTGAGCTGGGATCAAACGATATAAGAAATGATATTGAGGTTAACGAGCAACTCTAGTAGCATCCATCAAATGCCTGACATTTTGGCTCTTGAGCTTTTGGTAATGCATTGATTATCATATCGTATCAAACAGATGATACATATATACACATATACATATTCTTGAAACTATAAATAGGTAAGTAAAAAAAGCTATGTACCAATGTCCATCCAGAACAAGGACCTGCTGGGTATAGAGCATCCAAAAAAAAAAAAAAACAATTCATCCGTCATTGACCCAACCCGACGCCTCCCCTTTTCCCGCTGTTTATGAATCCAAGAGTTCCGAAACAATGCGACCGTAAAATATATATAAAGATGGGAGAAAAAAAGAGGCATCAGCATTAATTATGGCGCCGCATTATCGCGACTATCTTCGTATTGGTGGATCGAAGGTTGTGAAGACCGACGCCGAGTACTGAGGAACTTGGCACTGATAGCCTTTGTTCCATGTGACACCTTATCCAAGAACCCCTGAGACTTCTCCTTCATCGTGCTTTGTCGGCGCGCCCTCCCAGCAATCGCTGTCTCCATGGGCGACGGCATCTCTTCATCCGGCTGTCTAAGGGCATCACGTACCGCAGGGCAGGGATCGACGAGTTGCTTGGCGTCGCTGATAAATTGGAGAAAGACCGAGTAGGACATGCAAACAGCCTGGAGGACAATGACGACGATGAAAGCCGTTCTGACGGTGCCTCCGTGCTTAATTATGCCGTACATGACGAAGGGGAAGAATCCGGGGCCGGAACTACCCATAGTGATAAAGGCGGCAGCACGCTTGGTGCGTCGACCTTGACCGCGAAGACCAATGGCAAAAATAAGAGGGTATATAGGGCCCTCGAAGAAGTAAAAGAGAACGATGGGTATAACAAGAAGGTTAGGGTTGGGTGGACGGACAACCACAGGAAGAAGGGCAAAGACGAAACAGCCAGCGACGCAGGCGGTGAGGATAGTACGAGGCCGTGGGAAGCGGGAACGATATACAGAGAGATATGCGAGGCCAGCCGCCATGAAGCGGGACACGGCAAAGGCGGTATGGGCGATGAGGAGATAATCGGGTATTGAGAGTGCGATGCCAGGTGGTTTATCGGGGTTGGGAATGTCGCCTGCACCTTCGGTTGCTTGCTCGCCAGTGTTGGGTGTGTTGGGGAGTATGGATATCATGAGGCTGCGGAAGTAGATGCTAAAACACTCCTGGGCAGCGACGTATGTGTATTGAGCAACAACGGCGAGGATAAGGCTCCATGTGCGGAGCTGTAGACCGCCTCTTTTCTTCTGAGGATCCATAGGAAGATGCTTGGCAGATTGCTCAAGCTCACGGTCACTCACTTCGGGAAGTGGCATGTAGTAGAAGAAGAGCCCGAGGGCAACACATAGGAGTGTGATTCCTAGATACGTCCATTGCACGTTGATGAGTGTCATGCTGGTGGCGTTGCTCTCTTCTACAATGCCCTTGAAGAAGACCTTCTGGGCCAGCAGGCCGCTAAGAACACTGCCAGTGCCTTGGATACCCTGCGCCATGAGCACGCGAGTCTCGCCGTATTCGGGGGGGCCGCATAGTATTAAGAATGCGTTTGCGCCAACCTCTAGAATTGATAGACCAAACCCGACAACGAAGTTGCTGAGCATAAATCCGGCGTATGATTGGGTAACAGCCGAGGGCCAGAAGATGACAGTTCCAATCCCATAAAAGCATAGCCCGACGATAAAAGTAACTTTGAAGCCACCAACGCTGTCGTGGCCGTTGGCCTTGTGCCTTCTCGATCGGTTATGTTCGTCGCGCCGAAGAATCCATTCGCCCACTAGCAGGGGTCCAAAGAAGTAACCGCCTCCAAAGTACACAGACGTCATGCCAAGTGTTTCGGCAGTGGTCATATTGTCCACTTTCGCAATGACGTTGTTCAAAGTATTGAGTAGGCCGTATGATATTCCCCATAACAGAAACAAGATGGAAACAATTGTGCAGTATTTGAATGATTGCTTCTTGTTGCACTTGAGCATACTTTTAGGTTTTGTCATGTTGACGAAGCCAAAATAAACACCCTCGACAGTTCCTGTTGAAGACGTCATAGTTGTCGATGTTTGAAAGGTCCCATTGCTCTGGTACCCACGTTGCGCAGGACGAGTTGAACCTGGCTCGTCGAAAGGTGTCGTCAAAAATTCCATCGCGCTCATGGGAGCATTAGCATTGAGAGGCTGTGCGCCGGTTTGCGCGACAGGAGGGGGCTGCTGAATACTGGCGCGATGACCTGTTGAAGGCGTATCTGAATCGTTGGGCCCCTTGGGTGTGCTGGCGCGAGTTCCATTGGGGTCGTAGAGCATGGAGGGGAGCAGCTTGAGGACCAGAGGCTTCAACGTCGGGACGCAGGCGCACATCATACCAACGTTGACCTCAACAGCACTCCACATGAGCGATCGCGAAGCGTTCCAGGCAAAGTCGGTCTGCCCACCAAATCGAGACTGGGGATCGGCAGTCGTACTGGTTGGTGCTGTAATGGCTTGCTGAAGGTAGTAGATTCTGACCACATCGACAACGGTAACGAATATTCCAACGGTGAAGGTAAGGACCAGAATTGTTTTCTGGCGAGAAGGGAGGCGCATGCCGGTGAGAACAGGTATAGGTAGAGCGAGAATGGCCAGGTCCGTGACAATGTTGACGGGTGAAGAACATATAAACTCGGTAAGCAGTGGTATACATTTCGCGCGTTCGTCATAGTGAACATCCCAGGCGGCTTGGGTCGGGCGGCATTGAAAAACATTCATGAAGGTGAGAATAACACCAGCAATATTGACGACCGCAAGTGTCAACCAAGAGGCGAATCGAAGTACTCTTTGGGTGTGCTTGGCTAATCGGAGGTAGAATATGAGTACGGAGGTTTTGGTGGCCATCAACGCTGGATTGTACAGGATGGAAAAGACATATTCGCAACGACGAAGGGCGGGTAAGCGGTTGGGGTCGATATTTTCGTCGTGTCGTCCGAGACCATTGTGAACGCCGAAACAGATGGTGAAGGAGAGGAAGAAGGCGAACAGCCATGCGAGGATCATGACGCGGTCATCCCAGGTGACATTCCTAACAATGAAGGTCCGTGAGACGATTCGTGCTGCGACGAAGACAGTAGCGAGGACGAGAGTGGCCGTTGTGACGGCGAAGACGACCGGCCCACGATCGGGGATGCCTCCATCGTCGGTGGAGGCCGAATGGGACATAGCGAGGACGGAATTGGAAGAGACATGGACTCGTCACTCGTGAAATTGGGTGTGAAGCTGAGATCGAGAGAGAGGCTTGACAAGTTGGAGCCGTTGCTACCTTGATGAGCGTGCCATGTCTTCCAAGGTTCGATATTGGAACAATTATCGGGACTGAATTCAGGAGATTACTGAGAGAGTGGGAGGATGAAATTGGATCGGCAAAAGAGTCGGTTGGAAGTCGAGGTTTGGCGGGTAGAGACTACCGAAGGCTAATAACAATAAGCCCAGGGCAGGTAACGTAACCTTAGGATCGTGACTGCCCGTCCGTGCTGGGCTGTCAGATGGCGGATATTGTCTGGTTTTCGGCGTCTCGCGGCGGCGTATTCCCGTCGGGATGTGCCTACCGGGGGCCTAGGAAAAGATGAACAAGCACCAAAAAAAGAAAAGAGAAGATGATCTGTTGAAGATTTTGCTAATAACCGAGAAGAAGCAAAGAAATATGTGTCCCTTCCCGTCCCGTCAAGGTTATGCTTGTCCTAGTTCTTGATTGCCGAAGGAGCAAGCAAGAAAAGCCAGGCCAGGCCAATCGTCAAAAGTGGTTGTGTCCAAGGTCCAAGAAGGTCCAAGGTCCAAAGCCCCCAAAAACCCGCCGGAGAGAAAAAACCGGGGTGAGTTTTTTTTTAGCGGCTTTAGCGGGTATCTCAGCCACCAGACAATGGGCGACAGTGACGGGAGCCAGCCAATGGATCCATGAGGTGCCCCGCCGGCAGTCGGGAGACCGTGGAGCTGGGAGCGCTGGACCATGAGGCTAAATAAGAGTCGACACACCCCAACGATGTGGATACCTTAGGATACTTTGACAACGGCATTCCATACGGGCAGTTGGGTTCAAACGGTGACCCTAAAGACTGGAGGTTGAGAGGGAGCAAACACGAGTCTGGTGGAGTTAAGGCTACTCTTGAGTAGGATGAGTACGAGATCTTGGAGAGTTGGGAGACGGTAGTTCAACTCGGTTGACTGAGTTATGAAAGTCAAGTCCCTTTAGGTCGCACTGCATGTATACTATACGAGTCAATGGATAATTTACCGACTAATCGGGTACTCGATTGTCAGGTGACTCGAGTCGTTGGGTAATTCTGGGGTTGATGGCCTTTCTGTTGGTCTATTGGTCTAATAAGCTTTGCTAGGGACATTTCTAACAGATCCAATTGCCAGTGAATTATTGGTTAACTTAGTAGTTATTAGGTAGCGGTCCGCTGTCCGCTGTCCGCTGTATGCTGCATGCAGTGCATGGACGAGACCTGCATGAGACAATGCAAGAAAAAACTCTTCAGAGGAGCAGATCCAATTAATTCCCTGTCTCTTGGGTTTTGTCTTGGTTGAATCTTGGCTGCTCAGCTAAGCTAAAGTCGACTTTAGTCTTTACCTCGAGTTCGGTCGCTTGATTAGGCGAATGGTGCTTGACGACGGTAGCGTCCTCCAAAAAAAATGCCGCGCACGAAATTGAGGGGAAGATGACATTGGCGCGTGATGAATGGTTGAGGGATAAGTTGCGCTACGTAGTGGTTTCCATTGGGGGAATTGATACACAATTGAATCGTCATCGCCCAAAGACAACCGCTTTTTGCGACTGTAGCATGGATTATCATGCTCAATTGGACGGTTTCGGATGATGAGTTTTGTTTCAGTCGGGCCTTTACTTGACTCAATTTCAAGAGTCTGCAGCCC